TATACCTTAAATAAGGAATATTGGAGCTTCAGGGAACGGGCTGGTCTCCTTCGGGGCCGGGCACGATCATGACCTTGCTGCTCGCGGACTTCTTGGCCTGGGCCTTTGCGAATCCCTTCGCGCTTGCCTTGTCTTGACCGCCGCCGCTTGCCACTAGACTTGCCCAAAACACTGCAGATGGGGTCGCCACGCCAGTGCCCTTTCTCTCCGCACGCTGCGCAGCACGACTGCTTTTTGCGGTCTTCGACGCTCTGCTTCGGGCCAGTCAGTCTGACCCCTTGGAGACGCCGGGACCAACTCGGGATCGTCATCATCCTGGGCCTGGCCCTCGGCGGAGTGCTCTTTGCCTTCCGGGATGTCGTCCAGTGGCTCGCCATCGTCGCCGTCCTGGTTGTCGTCCTTCGTCTCCGCAACGTACGTTTGTGGGCGCGCTGCTGCTGTCCGCCTTTCGGCTTGCCCTTGCCCTTGCCTTTGTCTTGCCGGCCATCTTTGCCATCGCGGTCACCTGAAGAGCGCTGGTCCTGACTTCGGGGATCTCTATCGAACTCTCTGGCGTAAGTCACAGGAGGCACTGGACGGTGATCCGGGAACTGAAGCTGGGCTGCCTCCTTGACGGCGTCAAAGTGCAAGGACTGACCAGTGCCAACAAGCGCCAGCCTCTGCTGTTCAGAAGAAAGCCGAAGTCGATTGAGTAGCCGAGCTCCCGGGCTTCGCTGTCGTACATCCGTTGACATTGCAGGCAATCAAGGACCTTTCGATGCGACGGTAGCCATTTCTATCACCCCCTGATGCTCTCCGCGTTGTATCTGGCGATCGTTGCGCTTCTGGTAGACCACGCGTGCACGGAGAGCACCGCGGAGCCTCAAGAATGTTGTTTACTCCTTCTGAACAATTGATGCGAGAGAGCTCGCAATGCTCTAACTCCTCCTCGGCTTCGCCTTTTAGCGACACGTACAGTGCCATGGCTGCTTCGTTTGCGGATGCCGACACCTGCAGCTCCCAGACGCGGACTTTCCTCTCCCAACGGTCGTAGGCTCGGGTGTCGTCACGATATGATAACTCCAGGACGGTGGTGCCAGTGGCGTAGCGCCCCACCATCTGACCCCTTGCAGCGGGCCCTTCCTTGAGTTGCCTCTGACTTGGCCCCCTGCCTCACACGAAGGTCGCCGAGGTCCTTCAGCATTTGATCGCGCCATGCCTCTCCGCCAGGTAGTGGTGAATCGTGTAATCCAAAGACACCAGGAGCAGGTAGTGCAGCGCCTGGGACGCCGTGCCCAGCCGCCGCAGCTGCTCGCCGTTGTTGACGTGAGGGTCGTGGAAGCGGTTGCAGGATCTGGGTCGACGCTGTAGTCTTCCGGTACCTGAAGGCATCCAAAGTCGAAGCGAAGAAGAAGTGGAAGAATGCGCAAGGCTTGCGCGCCTTCTTGGGACGTAAGCCCAGGTGCCTTGCATGGCCTCTCGCCGCGTCGTAAGAACTCCCATCGCACGTGAGACATCGCCATAGAGGTTCACCTGAATGATCGGGCTCATGCTGCTCAAAGGTCTCTTCTGCAGATCCAAGTCGCCGAGGTCCTCGGGCTGTAGTCCAGGAGGTCGAGAGCGTGCTTCCGAACCTTCGCCAGAGCAGGAAATCCGAAACGTCAATGGCTCCGTGGCCCTCGGCGGCATCCATGGCTCCGCTACCAACTGACACTAGAACTCGCCAACAGAACAGTGTGCTCAAGCAAACACTCGGGCGCCCATTTTGCAGTGCAAGCGTAAAGCTTAAGCTGGCTCAGCGGCCGTACTAGAGGAGTGAGCCAAGTGACAGCGGGGAACAGCCCCTACGTGATCTGAATTGCACTATTCACAACATGTGAGAATGACAACGCTCGGGTGTAGCGTGTAAGGGGAACCGGCCTAGTGCATCAGGTGAACCGTGACGGAAATCAGCCCCGTGTCTGCCCATGACAACCCACTGTAGCAGTCCTTAGCAGCTGTAATCATTTTCCATTTCTGCCATGCGTCCTTGTCACGCTGGAATGCCAAGTCCACAATTGGCGTGAACCAGCTGAACGCCTGTGGCTCTCATTTCTGCGTTTGCATAGTTTCCTTGCGAGTGCTCGAGCTCGCAGCCATCCATCCGATGAGTCCTACTTGGTCCTCGGCGGCTTCAGCGAAAAAACACATGAAAACATTGATCAAGAAGAGTCTTCCGGAAGACTTCCGCGGGCCCACCTCGGGGGAGGGCTCGCGCGTGCTCAGGCTTCGTGCCTTCAAACACAGCCACAGAATTTCAGGAAATATCTGGACCCGCAATCTTCAGAATAGGAGGCAGACAAACCGGCCACTGCCAACCATGGAGATTCCGTCCTCCTACAGGCACGAGTGACCAGAGAACTTCTGAGTTCCCGCTACGTCACTTTTTCATTTTCTGTCACTGCCACGCCTCGCTGAGCAACGGAGGTTCTCGTGTCGAGCCACGGCGTCCAGAAGGCACCAAATAGGCCTGCTTGGTATTTCATTCTTTTCTGCTTATGGGCAGCAAATAGGAACATGCAATAGCCAGCCACGAAATCCGAAGGAAGCTGTAGCCTGTTACCCTCAGGTCCGAAATCTGGCCGGCGCCACCGACGTGGCTGCCACGCATAGTAGGAGCTCCACTGCTTCGAAGGCCAGCGGTATCTGCGCGTACCGGCAGCACGTATACATCAGAATTTCTCGCAATCATGGCAAGGGCAACGAGGCCCCAACTCCGCCAGGTTTCGAAGCACGGTCGTAGGTGGTGATCACCTCCAGTCGGAGTCGGTGTGCAAAAAATCTGCAAATCTTCAATGCACTTTTCCTCCCCTCTCGAACGTGCCTGTGCAAGCGTCGCCAGCACCCACCAGAGCTTTAAACCCAAACTTTCCACCAGACCGCGCTTCACCTCCTGAGACAACTCTGAAGCGAGAGTTGGTCTTCCTTTCTTCTTATCTGCTCGGCTTTGCCTGGCCTGCAGTTGCCAAAAGCCCACCACCATGGCCTCCGCGAATGACAAAAAAGCCCAGCAGCACATCTTGAGACCAACCGGAATCTGCGTTCCCCACAGCAGCAGCAAGGCAGGCGCCGCCGACCCCTTGCGATGGATTCACCACCTCTGAGACGAGTTGAATCTTGCAGAATCCTATCTCAAACACATGTGTCAATTCAGGCTCGGGGGAGCACATCAACCGAGCTCACCCCAACAACGAACTCTGCCAGCGCCACCTGATGGCAATCAAGTTGACCACATCTGGGCCATTATGTGAGCACACAGCGGCGAAGTAGGAGCGTGCCAAAAACAGAAGGCCACTGGAGGCTGATCGAAACCCATCAATGGATGTTGTCCGCTGCACTCTCAGCCTCAAGACAAGGCCGATGAATCATTCGATGATTTTTGAAGGGGCTAAAAGGCATGTGCCATTACGTGACATTACGGCTGCCGCAACGGCCACCGGCCTTGGCATGCTACGGACGATGACGAAGCCTGTGAGCACACCCAGGCATGCCAGTCCAGCAACGGCAGCCTGAGCAGAGCAGAAATTGCACAACTGAATTCCACTTCAATGACTGTTGCAAGGACGTGAGAAATGGCCTGAAGGAGGACGTGCGCATAGCAGTCATTGAAGCCTTTCTTGGAAGTCAAGTTCCCCTCAAACTCGAGGGGCTCTCCAAAGCGCGCCTCCGCCCTGGGCGAAGAGGCCGCCTCTCTCGCTGCAAATCTCCATGGCTCTGCAATGCTCTGCAGAACCTCACCCTCTGATCATTCTAATCTATTCTTCCCTCTTTTGCGCTGACTATGCTGACAGTTCTGCACAGCGCTTTTCGATGCTAGTTTGGTATTGGGCTCTTGGCGTCTTACAACACTCGTCTCCTCTGGTGCTTCACGGGCCGCAACAGCTTTGGAATGTCGCTTGCATAGGCAGGAATGCCAACCTTGCATCAACAAAACTTGAGACAGTTTTCTTCAGCGAAGGCTGACCCTTCGAAGGCTGCTAGGCCTCGTGCGGAAGGCAAGAGGCCTAGAAAAACGCTTTGCAGCTTCATCGACTTCCCCGCCTTTGGCTTCTTCGGCTTTGGCTTCAGGATGATTAGTCTCGCTGTTTGTAGTTGTGTGTCAATGGAGCCGGGGATGGGCCTGTTCCTCAGGCTGACTGTGGACGCTTGGACGCTGCTAAGAGGTGCACTTGGGATTCGAGCTCCAGGACTTCAAAACTCTTGGCGCTCGAGATAAGCCTCTCAATTTCCACCTCTCAGCAGCAAAGAGAAACCTTGCAAAACCGCTGCTTTGCGAGAAGTCTCCCCCTCCTTGCTTTCTCGCACCTCCGTAATGAGCTGGCCAAAGTCGATTGTCGTAATGTACTTTGCCCTGGCCAAATGAAAAACCATGACGAGGTCTTCTGCTCTGTGGCGATTGTTCTGAAAGTGGCGGGACGGCAGGGGCTTTAGACAAGCCAGCATAGGCGAGGGTGCCTTCTGGAATGTCCTGTCTGCTCTCCCCCCAAAAGTTCCCACAAGCAAACTGGCACCACCAGAAGCAAGGTCCCTGAGAACCAAGCTGTGTTAGAAAGACTCGCCCGTCGCGCTTCATCAGCGGTAGGACTGACAAGGTACTGTCTGCATTGCAAGACCTAGAGAAGCATTGGAAGTGCTCAACCTGGGTCGTGTTCTTAAATTTGTCTTCTATCTTCTGAGATGACAGGACTTTGTCACGAGAAGGCTGTTTGGGCTACGTGTTCGGTCAGAGATGTGTCAGAGGGGAGGTTAAACGCGAAAACTGCCTGCTTCAAGGGCCGCCGGTGGATCAGGCAAGACCTCAAACTTCCACGCGACTTCAGAACTTTGGAGTCTTTTGGTGGAGTCAGGGGCCGTGGCTGAAAAGGAGCCCGAGAAATAAACTGCGTCGAACCTCTGGTCCTTGGAACGTGGAACAGCATTGGCACTGAAGAAAAACCTGCCAATGCCCCGAGAGCCTCCGGAACTTCCGAAGGGACCTCGCCTCTGAAGGGTTCATCGCCGACCTCTCAGAGATTCTGAGAACTCAGTCAAGTACTTTGCATAGTGTTACACTTTGCATGTGCGCGGCATGCCCAGCGTTGACCTGAAGGCAAAGGTCATTCAGGTTGTCATAGATGGAGCGCTCCAGCACATGACCTTCAGACAAAGCACTTCAAAGCACTCCAAATGCACTTGTTTTCAACTCTCAGCCAGGCACAGTAGAACCTCAGCTGTGCTCAATTCACCTGATGCGTCTGCGTAGCACGCTGTGACTGAGGCAGGAGCTCCCCGGGCCGGTAGCCCTCAGTGCCGGCGGGCACCGCCTGCCAAAGCCCCGAGGCCTTCAGCACGGCCTCGTTTCACGAAGAAGCTGCAACAAGTCCAAAAACTAAACCTCCCTAAGAAAAGGACTTTGAGTGTGAGTGTGAGCTTAAAAAGGAAGGGATTCTGATTCGTTTGATGTGTTTTCATGTTGCGTTTTCTTCTCAGCTGGCCTCGGCCTTGCGGACGTAGGCCGCCTCGTAGTCGATCCCTACGACCGAGACTCGCCGGGTCAGCATCTCCGCCTGCGCACAGCACGCAAAGCTACACTCGACATGCTACACGGTTTTTTCAGAACTCACCTTGCTCCGCACCAGGGCGGAAGCCGTTCCGATACCGACCTGCATTCTTCGAGTGCTCGCGCTTGCTGTGTGCCCACTGGCCCTGCGCCAAGTCACATCCAGGAGTCGATCGCCCTTGTTCAGTCTTTGAAAGACAGCCTGAGTGGAATCAGTGGCATCTTAAGAAATCTAGAGCTTTGTGACCTTTGCCGAGACCTGGTACCATCTAGCCGTCATCCACACGATGACCAGATCATAGACCTGGCTGGGCAAGAAGTGTCAGCCAGAGTGCAGGCGGCAAATACGTCGGATTACGCACGGGTCTGAGCTCGGCACATCCGCCGCAAAGAAGCGCAACAGGGCCAAACACCTGTCAGAAAAAAGCTGACTTCACGCACCTTTTTCTACAAGTTCTTGTTGAAAACTTCCGGGGAGACAAAGCCAAGACCACGAGGACGCCAAGCACCGTTGACATGGCGGAATCGGGTCGACTCTGAAAGGACCGTTTTGTGTTCTCTCTCCCTGGTGACTCTGCTCCACAAAATCTTGGCTATGTTTTTTTCGCATTTTCATATTTTAGGGGCAGAGGCCATCCTGGAAGCTGAGCTGAAAAAGCTGAGTCCAGGGAGAATCAGCAAGATGCGCTCAGCCTTTGCAGTTTTGGCAATTTTGCCTTTTGTTTCATTTCGTCAACTCGTCAATGCCTCCTTTTCGATCCATCGGCCCAATCAGCCCTAAACCCTGGTGTCTGCCTGCCAACTTTCTGGTAAAATCGGCAAATGCAGCAAGGAGTGAACAGGGTGCACTGTACAACGAATGTGCTATGCACTGCTTTGCAGGCAAAGCGGACCAAAACATCTACTTTGAATCAATACACGTGGTCGTGGAGCTTGCCAGCGCCCAGTGGCCAAGTCGACATGTGTCAACACATGCTACCGCGTTGCTACGTTGCTACCAGGCTGCTTACCATCCCTTCCTGCACTCAGCTACATCGATGCAAGGACTCAGGTTGCGGAAGTCGGCCTGGCAGTCTTTGAGAAAGAAACTTGTTTCAGACCTTGCTGTGGGAGTCCTTGCGCAGCATACCACCGCAACATTCGCTCCAAACTCTCAAGCGGATCGTACTTGTCGAAGCCCTCACAAAGCCGACTGAAAGGAGCTTGCTCCGCTTGGCTTCGTTTGGCTTGTCCTGCCTCCCCAACAGCTTCCCGAATGGCCTCTGCACCTCTTGCGGTACCGGCCATGGAGTCAATTCCATCCCCCTGGCCATGTCTACATGTCTACGGAAGTGTACAGCAGGCTCGCGCTGCAAATGCACCTCAACCGTCAGTGCGGCACAGAAAGACCAACTCTTGAAGTCCTGCAGAACGTAAGCCGCAATTCTCAGCAATTCTCACAAAATTCAAAGCTTTGGGTTTAGGGTGAAAGGTCCAAAGGCGAGGCCAGGATGTTCTTGCGCCACTCCACCTTGGCCATGCATGCCTAGCCATGCCTCATCCAGGAGCTTCTGAAAGCGTTAAGTCTCCAGCAAAGTCCATGAACTCCAAATGCCAGTACCTCTTACGCTCTCTCTCTCAAAGCTCCAGCACTGCCAGTACTTGACCGCCTCGACACACATAAAAAGCTTATGCAAAAAAACCAAGACAGAGCGTTAGCAGCATAGACGAGGGATTTGCGTCATGTGAAGCGTGTACTGGTGTACTGTGAACCGCACAGAGAGGACAGAGATGGTACAAGGTGGGTTCATGGAACACCGCAAACTCCCCTGCGGCGCAACCCTCACTTCGAATTGCGAGAGGCCATGAGCTGCCTGTAAGCACGCAGGCTGGACCAAAGTTCTCATGGACTGTCGAAGCCCACGTGAGTAGAATGCCACATGCTAGCTATAGGAAGCAAGGAAATGAAAAGATTTCACGCATCAAATATCCGCCAAGGCCCCCAGCCTCGCGAGACTCTACCGAATGCCGACCCGTTTGGGCGGGCAGCTCTGGAGGGATTGGGCGGAAAGCCTGGGGCTCGAGGTCAGGTGAATTTCTGGGTTGTTGCCAAATTCTTAGGGGGGTTTGCGGCGCGAGGCCCCACCCCGCCCTGCGCCCCCCCCTGTTCCTCCCCCCAAATGCTTAAGGAGATCACAAGGGCACTGAGATACTGCACAGGGCTTCATGAGGCTACTGTGCTTCAGCAGCACATCTGCGCTCTGTGAACATTGCGGACATCCCTTAGTGTCTGGGGGAGCAAGACTCTACCCACCCCGACTTCCCCAGAATCAGGTGACCCCCGCCGGAAGGTCTGGTCTGGTGCCTAGGGAGGTTCTGAAATTTCCTGCTTTGGATCGCAACCTTCACCCCCCCCCCCGGCTGCGCCCCCGTCCCGGCCTTCCACGGCTATTCTCGGCCTCTTTCAAATGTGCAGCTGGGGGATCCTGTAATTCCCATACAAATGTTTAAGGAGAAGAGCTCTATATGGATATTGTATTTTAGAAGGTCATAAAGGGCTCTGTAAGTGGGTTTTATAGAAGATTCTATGCTACGATTATGTAGGGATACAAGGGGCAAGTTGCTTTCAAGCTGTCGTGTTCCAGGCTGCCACACAGACGAGCCGGCCGAGGCGGCGCGCTTTAGCGTTAATATTAAATGAAGGGCTTGTGATTCCAAACCGACCGGGGCTGGTTCTGCCAACGCGGCATCCAGAACAATGCGTTTGCCGAGCATCAACTCCGTCTCTACTTCCTAGTTACCCGCACATTTTTCTGCTGGGCATAATTAGCATGTATCAAGGATGGCACTAAACCCAAACCGCAAACAATTCATGATGCCCGGGATCAATCTTTCATCAGTGCGCAGAAGACTTTGTGCTTGCGAGGTGCGTGCATGCACTCCAAATACATCGGAAACGATATGCGGCAAAACAATCAACGGGCTAATCGAAAAAGTGGGAAACACTGACAATGTGCAAGCTGGGACAAAAACGGCGAGAGCAGGTCACGCAGTTTAACACCCCACCCCAAGACACCACAAGACCCCCACGCGACCCGAATGTCCCCTAAGGCTTACACTGCATTCACATATCTGCACAGCGTGCATGCTGACTTGCTTCGGCAAGCTCGAAAGAATGTTTGTTTCCTGCAAGCTGCTACCTCGACATTCAAAAACATCGCCTGACCACAAAACCATCCCGAACCGGGCTCAAAACCAGCGCGCCCGACGCGCTTCAAAACCGCAGCCATCTTGTCAGTGGTGATCTCATTGTTCGGCCTGAGTTCAGTCACCAAATGCCAACTTGTTGTCTACCCGTGTCTACGAATGTCTACACAAGCAAGATGATCAATGCCAAGAGCTCAAGAGCTAGCTTGAAAGAGAAGCCCCGCATCAAATTCCTCAACCAATATTACATCACACTCGAGCGCGGGAAAGGCGAATGACATACTGTACAAGTTGTTTGTGTGTGTGGACACCCATGTCCACACGGGTTTTCTAAAGAGTACCATTGACCTTCAGCGAGCAGGGGGCGCAAGCAGCCCATCCAATCTTGCGCCGACGGAGACGCTCGGTGCTTGCTGGTAATATCCAATGGAACGCCATTGGACGTACCTGCACGTGATCTATACCATAAATTCTTGTAAACTACGCCGTGCATTGTTTTGCAAGCTTTTGTGATCTGGCCATCACCCTTCTACTCTTCCACGCGCTGATAGTTGCCATGCAGACATCTCGGAATGATTGCATGCAGCATGAGCAAAGATTTTCAAGCGCGGTCAGTGTGAGTGCATGCATGCTTTTAGGATCCAAGTTAAAGCCAATTGTGACAGAGTTGAACAGCAAAACTCTAAAGAGATTCTTTTCTCTCGAGCTGAAAGCGCTGCGGTATTGGACTCTAAAATGAAACAAACGTATTGAAATGGTGCATCCCAGATACGTCTCCTGTGTGTCAAATATCTTAACACCCTGCCTACAAGTTCGTTGGCTGCGGACATTCCAAATCCAACTGCTTGGACTTTCATTCCCAGGAACCAAAGAGGTCCATGGCTCATGCATAGGTCTCAGTCGTGTGCAACCCACCATCTCACCCGCAATGGCGGGATTGAGAGTACGTCCATCACTCCAGCGAATCATGCACACATCCAAACCCGTTGTTATTCTTACCGTCCAATACTGGCCATACATGTGCCATCGCACACTCCTTTCAATTCGCGACCAGTTCTTGCCAATGATCCACATGATATGGACCATGGCCATCGTTCCAATTGATGGCTGCCACACACAACTCCATCTTTCAGACCAAATGGTTCCTGCTTGTACATGAGAGCGCTGCGCATGCCAGTAAAGCACTGTAGAAGCATGTGTTTGCTTCGCAGCCATCTTTAAATCCCAGAGTAGGTAGGTCGCATTTTGTACAGTGAGTTCAGTACTATTGTACGGTTTTTAAATTCTCAAGACAAGGCTGTTCCCTTTGGGTGCGTATTGCCTTCAAGTAAAAAGGCTGTCCGCGCTGGTGCCTTGTCCCTCGCCCTCGCTGCTTCACGCAGGTTATGAGCCCAAGCCTGCTACTACACTTTTGTGGAGTGGTTGGCTGCCATGTCTGGTCAAGATCACACTGTTAGTGGGAGGAGTTTCGCCTTCAAGCAGCTCGACACGATTTTCCTAGTTGATGAAACAGTGGAGGGGCTTGCTACTGAGCAGGCAGACATGCAGAGTCCCAATCAGGGACAATGGTTGAGTAGATGACGGACATCCACCCTACGAGTTGGTTGGACAGCTGTCCTCTGAAGAGCTGCCAGTAAGACACACCTCTGGTGGCGAGATGCTTCGGAGAACCACCAATGCTGCATCTCGTGACACAGGAGACCTGGACAGTGCTAAATGCTCATAGATAGGTACAGTACTTCTAGTGCTGGCTTGAACCAAATTAATCAGATGACGAGTCAGTTGCAAGGTTTGCAATTGGACCAGGCGGAAAGCCAAGTTTACGGCTTGCGAGTGGATGCAGCTCCGGCTGCAGTTGATTTATCTCGTCTAGCTTCTGGCGATGCTGAGTTATTTGGAGCAGGTATTGAGCGGTGCGTTTCCGGAACCTCATGCTTAGGCAAGTGTTAGACCTGCAGTTCAGCAGATCGCTCAGTCTGGAGTTGTGACGGGACACACAAGTACTATTTTGCAGTTGTTGCTCAACCAGAACGAGGCTTTACAGGAGCGTATCGCTAGTCTGGAAAAGTCGCGTCCGGCGTCAGTAAAAAGCGCATACTGCGTTGGAAGGAGCCGAGGACACTGCAAATGCTGCAGATAGCAGCAGACCTGGCAGGTTAGCGCTTGCGCAGTCAGTTTTAGGGCCTAAGGCCCGGACCGGAGGTCAAGCAGCAGGTAGAGCTGAGGGTCAAAGATCCAGTTTTGTCTCACCCACTGCAGGAGTTTTGTTTAGCGGTAGCGCGCAAGCTGTAGTTGCGGCTACTAATCCACAAGCTGACACTTCTAGAGTTGGAGGTAATGGATGCATACCTACCCCTAACAGTCTTGAAGACCCTAGGGTTAGCCGGAGTGGAGTTCCCAACAGTGGTGAACTGAAGCATGGTCTCCTCTGTCCGGTGTTGTCCGGGTCTACTGCATTGTGGGCTCCTGATCTTTCGAATCCCTTACCTTCAAGGGCCCTCTCAGTATCAATCTAGACCAAAGCTCTGCCGACCAGGAAGATTTGATCCTTCGCGTGCAGAAGGTGCCGGCAAAGCCTGTCAAGACTCCGCAGAGTAGTGCAATCCATGAAGCCCAGAAGAAACCGCGGGAAAGTAAGGAAACAAAGAAGGGCCCACATGGCGATGAGAAGTTGAGCAAAGGAAATGTATCAGCACACGCGCAGGATCAGGAGCAAGTGGAGGACGAGGCAGTGGGAAAGTCAGCCCCAGGATTAGGAGCAGAACAGCCGGAGGAGCCAGAAGAGCCAGACAAGCCAGAGGAACCAGATTGTTGAGGAGCTCGGCGTGGATGCGCTTCATCATGATCATTGCCACCCTGGCTGGCATATTCTTCACCACAATCTGGACCTTCTGCTGCCATTTGCCCCCATGAGGAGCAAACTGTAGGATGACAATGTCGTTTCGTTTGGCCTGCTTCTTCCACTGAACTCTCATAGTACCCTTTAGCAGGTCGGGGGAATCTGTTACCAAGTCTTCTAGCTTGGCCGAATGTGAAGAGTACTAGGCATCATCCCATTCACATCCCATCAAGACATATCATACTTCAAGCCATCTTGTAGACAACCTCCTGCACGGAAAAGCTTTCGCGACACTTTTGGGATAAATGATCTGTGACGCAAAGATGCGGCAAAACCACAAAGCGTGCGAGTGTAGCTTGTTCCGCTTGCAACCTTCCGATGCATCCATTCATTTTGACGTCTGCATCTGGCATGCTATTCAGCTGAAGTCAAGGCGCACTAATACGTTTCGGCTTGCCTGTCCCGAAAATGCTGACGGTTTTGACACCCTGGCTGTGGTCTGCGCAAGGTGACGTGCTACCGTATCTTTTGGGACTTGCGCCCAAGCGATCAAGTGTTTTGAGTTAGCCGGAGCTAGGATGCTAGGATGCTAGCAGCTGCTAGCATGTGCAGCAAGCAAGCGTGTGTTTTCTCTGCGAGCTTAGCCAGCGACCTACGCATGGCTAATGTTTTTGAAGAGATGTACCTGAGACCATGGCATGGCAGGGTGGAAGACACTGCCATTTGGAAGTTTGCCTCAGATTGAGAGTGATCAATTTTATGGCCTAAGCATGCTTTCATCGCTTTCTGGGACTGCGGCGGGTCTCCAGCCAACCCGGAAGAAGTATTCGAACAATTGCCTTCAGGCCCACAATAGCCCGCCGCACACACATGCACGGAATTTCACGAGTACGAGTGACTCCGAGCTTACAATCCATGCCTTGGCAACCCAATCCACAGGCGTCAAGTTGAACTTCCGCCCTTCCATGGCAGGCAGGCGTTGGAGCTTCAACACCTCACTTTACAAGGTCACTGGCCGACTGGTCAGATGCTCAGCTGCTCAGGGGCACGTCTGATAGAAAATGAAAGAACACATCCTCAGCAGCTGCGCCCGTCGCCGAATGGCCACCTCCGGGGAAGGGAGGCAGGCAAGAAGGAAGGAAGGAGCACCAACATCTCATGTGGATCTAAGTGCGGGTTACATGTCTTGGAAACGTCACGGCATCATTGCAGACCGGCACGTTCAAGCTTGTTTCTACGAAGCCAGCTAGCCAGCTACACATATCTACACATGCACTAGCTGGAGCTTGGCCCACTGGTGCAACACAGGGCAACATGATGCAACAGTGTCATCGAGTCATGGCTCTTTCTGTAGAAGCGGGGCCTATAAGGCCAGGCCGGTGAATGTAGCAGGGCAAGCCCTGACGAGCAGCCTAAGCAGAGAGGACGCCGAGAACAGGCTCTCACCCATGCTTTCACCCCTTTGGCCTCAAAGACCAACCTCTCGGCCAACCACTTGCTCTGAGGGTAGCCATTGGCCTGACTGATCGCCCTCTGCTGGTGTTTCCATGCTATCAGCCCGTCTCCTGATCACCCGTGCCGTACATTGGAAGAGAACGGATATCGCCCAAAGGTGCCCCCTCCGGTACCACGCCATTTCGGTCCTGCAACACAGCTCTGCGCGGCTTTACGACAAGTTGCCTCCGAAGGCCCGTCCAGCATGTCTGGCCTTGGGTTCCCAGAACAGCTTCCAACCGTTTGGCTTCAGCTTGGCTTCAGCTTGGCTTCAGCCCTGAGGCCCTCGGGCTCCAACGTCAGAATGCCCATGGTGGACACGTGGTGAAATGGCTTTGGTCTGGATACGCAGCAGAATTCCAGAAGGTGGGCCGTTGCGTCCACGTTGTCCTGGTCGCAAGGACAATGGGAAAGCCATGCCCATGCCTGCCTGCGATATCCTGCGATAGCAACCAGGCCAAGCTGCCACCAGCCCCCCCTCCCCATCGTCCCGCCTTCTTCATGAGGTCGAAAGGCTCGGTCAAATTCACCTCTGGCTTTTTTTTCTCGTTCGGTTCTTGCTCTGCTGCTATGCTTGCGCTATGCTTGCGCTATGCGCTCTCAAGCACTCTCCGTTCCCTCTCCGTTCCTCTGCCCTCCGAGCCTTGGCCGCTGCGTGGATCACATGCGTCACCCGCCCTCGGCGGCCAATTCCCCATGTCAATGCACAGCTCTTGTACAAGCTACCGTCTGCAAACTCAACAGAAGCCCAAGACAGCTAAAGCTTCACAGCTTCACCTGAGCCCTGCTTAAACCAAGGTTGAGAAAGAGGCCGCGCCTGCTAGCCGCTGCACTTCTGCAAAAGGCCGGCCAAAGTTTCGCTGCTGCAAGTCCCCTGGGACGGCCTACGAACCAAGCAGCAAGCAGCTAAGCAGGCTGCTTTTTAGCAGGCGGCCCAACAAACGATGCTTCTTTCTAGATACTTTGTGGCACAACTGCGGCGGGATGCCTCCAAGATGCTCAGGTCGAGATGGGAGGTGCCGGCCCTTTCAAGCGCCTGCGCAGCAGGACACTGCTTTCGAGCGTTTTACTCTACTGTACTGAAGAATGCGGCCTCCAAGACCCGGCGCTCTGCGGCTGCTGGGTCCGCAGCACGAACCAGGCAAACGATCCGGCTGCAAGCCCCAGATTCCAAAAGGGCTGCCACAAGGCTCCTTCAGGCGACGCTTTTGAGCGACATTTCTAGGGCCAGGCCATGGCGCTCCTTCCCAAGAAGCCCGTAGAGCCACTGACCAGCGGCACCACTTCCCCACCCTGCTGCGACTGCAGCACCTGTGAATGAATCGAGTGCTGCACGCTGCGAGCATCTACGAACGCTACAAAAAATGAATGGGACTGCTGCCGTGCTGCCTTCATGCGGCCAATGGCACGGCTGACAAAGGCAGGCAGCAGCACCGGAGGCTGCCTGATGCCCGCATCATCGGAATCTCAGAATCATTTGCCAAGCCACTGGGCTTCGGGCAGCTCTTTCGGCAGTGGCCGGGAACTTGGCTTTACCAAGCCCAGCTTGGACCATCCGAAGGCCTGCGGTGGTAGTCCTCGGTGGATGGCAGCGGAGCGCCTCGTCCTGACTATGAAGTTCAGGAGCTGGCCGACCGCAAGCGTCTGTGCCGGAAGCCGCATTGAAGGCCCCACCTGGCTACGTTAGCCGGTGGATCCTGGATCGCGTCGGAAAGCAGCTCAGCCCGTGACTGCAGACAAGGGTGCCAGCGTGCTGAGACTGCCTCCAACAAACTTGGATGGGGATGGGTTAGTCATGAATCCACAGGAGCCATGAGACAGACTTGAGATTCCCAGACATAACTGGCACAGCGCACCTGTCTCTGCTGCAGCAACTGTGGCAGAATGGGAAACAGTGCTGCCAGGTCCGATGACCACCCTACCAGTGCAGCTGTAACACCTTGGCTGTGACATCAAGCTTGTCAGCAGCAGTTCTCCCAGAGTGGCTGCCAAGACCAAGCCCAAGCCCCCCGCTTGCCTTGCCGACCTTGTGGTGAAGCAGAGAGATGCAAAGATCTGAATTGGATATTTGCCCCCACACCTGCACCTGGGAGCATTCGCCTGCACGAAAGCACGGCCTCCAGTGGACTGGGCACTTTGGGAAGCCAATGTGAATCGATTGTGTTTTTCCTGTTCCTGCCTCCTTGTCAACGGAAGCACCCTGGCCCACCGTCAGCCATCGGTAGTCGCCAAGAATGGCTGTCCTGAGTCTATCAAGAAACTCTTCGGTACTGAGCCAGTGCAGCTCCCTTCCAGAGCACCAAACAAAAGAAGCGCATCCTTTGCGACTTGGGCTCCCATAGCCTCAAAACACATCTGCTTAGCTGCTTCAGATTTCAAGCAGCCTTATGGAGCCTTGAGCCAGAAATTGTAGAAGGGTGAGCCCAAGGCCATGCCTGAGCGCTCCAGGTTTAGGCCTAGGCAAGGTTCCTCAAAGGCCATGAAAAGTAGCCAAGCTGCCCATAAAGATGGTGAGGGACATGGCATTCAGCTGCTCAGAGAATCTCGGCAGAACCATTCTTCGACGCTGCGCCGGCTTTGCTTCTTCTCAGGGCGTGGCGTCACCAAGTGATGCCGCACTGACCCAATCCTGCCCCAGTTGCCCAGCATAGCCGCTCTTCAGCCTAACGGGCCCCCCCTAGCATGCCTAGACTTTACAGAGCCAAGAGCCGAGGCAGAAGCTCGCACCAGGATCCAGGTCGAAAGACAGAGAGCAAACGGTGCACCAAGACCGCCTCCATCGTGCAGAGGTACAGTAACCCGCCCCAATGCGGAGAGTGTCTATAGTGGTACCGAGCGGCTAGAAGGCACAGGCACCATCCCAGTGCCACATACGCTGCTGGCAACGAGAAAGCCTCAGCACTCAGCTTTCAGAAATGTTCTGAGTACTTGCCTCACTCGGCTTAGTGACGAACAAGCATCAATCCTGACATGTTCAAGCCAAAGACCAGCAATCAAGCTTCTTCTGAATGAAGATCTCCAGCCTGAACCACTCGACGAGTGTGCCAGGAAGTCGAGAAGCACTGTGAGAAAGTACCTTCCACAACACAAACTTGTTTGGACACATTCTGCAAAGGTTGACTTCAGCATCGGGCATGGCAGGCAGTAACGTGGTCAACCTCAGTTCTTCAACATGCTTGGCCCCAACTTATGCTCAGACCATGCCACTGCGAATCCACTCACTACGACGCGCTCGGCCCCTCATGTTGGTCAGGGAACCCTTTGGCACCTTCCATTCGGACCCATGCGGGGGTTTTGATACCGAAGGTATACGAAGGTGGCGAGGAACTTAAGGCATACGATATAGGACTCAGTACGACTGTCCAAAGAAAAGGTGAAGGGCAACAAGCAAAGTGGGATAAGGAGACATGGCGCTTGTGGTTGCAGCCCATGTAGAGTGGGCTTTCGGCGCTGTGATTCGCATTATGTCTTTCATCGAAAATCTGCTTGATTATGCCTGCCAATGTGTGAACGGTCTGTGTAGAAGGCCATGGACTTGAGTTTGACGACTAGATTCGATGCTGGTATCTTCACTCATCTTTCCAGTGCCCAGCTACAGCCAGCCCCAGGCCAAGGGCCCGCCAACAACCGCGGACAACCGCGAACCGCAAGAACAAGAAACGCTAAGAAACATGAACCGTGCAGAACCCAACCGCCTTTGAACCGAACCGCTCCGAAAAGCGCACAGGAACGAACCGAATGGAACCGCGTACTTCCTGTTATTGCACTTATTCGAACAGGCTAGGCAATCAAATTCCCAAGGGGTAGTCCAGCAGGCCCCCTGATCCTGAATAATATAATGATTTGCCAATGACTGCAAAGGTCCTTTGGCCAGGTTAATGGTGAGACCCAACAAACCATCAGATTTCAGTCTTGGATGAAAAGATGCAAAGACCAGGCATTCAAATACATCTGTGCGAAATTTCTTGATGTGCAAGGGTTAGCACTGACAAACGTCTAGAGTCTAGACGTCTTAAATCCTCCGCAAACTGCGCAAGTTTGCCTAGCAGAAGAGCATGACGTCGTGCACGGGAATTGCTTGGAAAGGGTGACATGCCACATCAATCTTTCCACATATGTAGCTTGTAGTAAACTTTAAGTGTAACTTGTAGTCCGATTAACCACTTATAACTTGGTTATGTGTACTAAGTTCACCCCAAGTATCCGCGTACTCATAAGTAACTTGGGGGTGTACATAAGTTACTTATGGTTTTCAGTGGTAGAACTTATGGGCTACTTAGGTTCTACTTAAAAACTACTTAAGGTTTACTTATTTACTGTTTTTTCATGGTTTCTATTTCATGATTTTTTCATGTTGTTGTGTAAAAATATAGAAAGTATGAAATCTCGCAAATCAGAATCTGTTTTTGCGTTTTGGCTCAAATCAGCTGTTTCACGGCTGGATGCTCTGTTCCAAGTTTTGCTCCAAGCCATGGCTGAGTGCGGTCCGACTTTGTCCCCGTCCCCAATCCTGCCATCTTCCTGACAGGTACCAATCCTGCCATGTTGCACTATCCAAAACCATTTTCTTCAAAACTTTCTCCGCGACACTGAACATGTACATGCAGACTGTCATGATCACAACCAACATGAACTTGACAACCACGGCTTCACTCTCACAGAACTTCTTCCAAGACGCT